CATGGTGTCACATGCCTATCATCCTACCTATGCAGACTGAGGCAGTAGGATCATGAGTTCAAGTCCGGCCTGGACGAAAAAGTTGGACGCTAATCTAGACAAGATGGCCAGAACTTATCTAAAATTAAAACAAAAGGACTGAAGATAGACTTCAGTGTTCTGCTTGCCTAGCATGTGCAAGGCCTTGATCATTGTATTTGTTGGTTTATTTATTTATTATTTTTTAAATGTCTTTTTTTTTTTTTTTTTTGGTACCAGGGATCGAACTGAGGACCTTGGGCTTGCTAGGCAGGCGGCAGCACCACTCAGCTAAATCCCTGGCCTTATTTTATTTTATTATTATTTCTTTTTTGGTACGGGGAGATTGAACTCGGGACCTTGCACTTGCGAGACAGGTGATAGAACTACTGAGCTAAATCCCTGGCCCTAATTTATTTTTTGATGTTTGCTTTTGTGTTGGTGAAAATTGAATCCAAGACCTCATGCATGCTAGGCAAGGGCTGTACCATGAGGACCTGAGAGCCTTTCTTTCTTGGGTTTTTTTTTTTTGAGACAGGGTCTGGCTTTGTAGTTCAGGTTGGATTTGGGCTCACTATGTAGCCCAGCTTGGTTTTAAATTTGTATTGATTCTCCTGCCTCAGCCTCCCAAGTGCTGGGATTATAGGTGTGGGCCACCATGCCCATCTCAAAAGCCTCTCATTATTATTATTATTTGTGTGTGTGAGTGTCTGTGTGTGTCTGTGTGTGTGTGTGTGTATAGTACTGGAGATTGAACCCAAGGTCTTAGTGCTGGGCTATATCCCCATGCTTGTTTATTTTTTTATCTTGAGATAGACCTCACCTGCCAGGGATTTAGCTCAGTGGTTCTGCCGCCTGCCTCGAAAGTGCAAGGTCCTGAGTTCGAACCTTGGTACAAAAAAAAAAACAACCCCCCCCCCACACACACTGACAGCTAAATTACAAGCATGTGCCACTGCACTAGTGATTTTTTCCCCGGTGATATTTTTTTTTTTTTTGGTACCAGGGATCGAATTTGGGTCCTTGTGCTTGCGCAGCAGGTGGCAAAACCACTGAGCTATAATCCCTGGCCGTTCCCAGGTGATATTAAGGACTCAGCCCAGGGCCTCATGCTTGTTGCTAGGAGAGTGCCCACTGAACTGTACCTCCCCAGCCAGTCCCCCACCCATTTAAAATTTGGAGACAGGGTCTGGCTAAGCTGCCTAGGCTGGTTGGAAGCCTCAGCCTTTGGGGTCGTCCATGGCATGATAGGTGAGCCTCCTGAAATGCAATTCACTCTCACTTCCAGGCCTGCAGGCTCCTTGCTCTTACTTGTACCACTGGCTCTGGTTTTAAAGACACAAAAAGTTGTTTTAATGAACCAAATCACATGACCTGGTCACGTGTTTTAACCTTCCTCCACTCCCCTAAAACCCTTTCCAGAGCATTTTTCTGGGGTTTGTTCCCCTAAAGTTGAGTCCAACCTTTGCCAGCACCACTTCCCCACTGCAATGGCTATTCCTAAATTAAGTCTGTCCTTTCCAGGGTGGCTTGTTTGCCTTTGACAGGCTTCTGGTTTCTGGTGCTGATACAGGAGAACAATTTCTGGTAGCTCTGCTACTTCCCCAGCAGGGAGCCTCTAAAAGTCTCAACTCCAACCACACAGCATGTTGTCTTACTCCTCCACTCCACTCTATCCCTTCCTCCCTAGTTCTCTGATTTTCCTGGGACCTTCGTTCCCTGCTGGCAGGTAAGCTGCATGTCTCTGGGTTATTTTTGGTCTCTTTTCCTCTGTGTGTTCTGATTCTATCTCCTCCTTTCTAGACTCCTCTCCATTTTTGCTGCCATTGCCCTAGGTCAGGACATATCAGCTCTTGCCAAGAGGAATGTAATTATCTTCTAGCTAATCCCCTTATGTCCAGCTCTACCTGTCCCCCAGGTGCTCCTCAAACACTAAATTGACCACTCCTCATTCCTTTCCATTACATTCCTGGGCTCACTCCTGCCTATTGAGTACTTGTAGACTAAACTGTTAGCAGGCACTTCAGGGCTCCCCATCCTCTTACCTCAATCTACACTTCTCCCACCTAACCTCTACGGAACCTGTGATCGCTATTCCTTAAACTTGTGTGCATTCTCACACTTCTATGGTTTTGTTCATATTTGCTTACTCTAGGATATGTGACTCCTCCCATATTTGCTAATGATCAAAAATTTTCAGGGCCTAACTCAAACATCATCTCTTTCATATATCTCCCCAATTTTTTTTTTTTTTTTTTTTTTGAGAAAGGGTCTTGCTATCCAGTTCAAGCTGGCCTTGAACTCACTAAGTAGCTCAGGCTGGTATTGAACTGGTGGAGATCCTCCAGCCTCATTCTCCTGAGTGCTGGGATTATAGGTGTGTGCTGCTGCTGCCCTGGGCTAAGAAAGTAAATAACAAAGAAGTTGTAGTGGAGGGTAGGAAATACCCACTCCTCACTCCCAAAATAGCTGCCTCTGATCTCCTTGCATATTGCAACACTATAAGATATGAAACTTTCTGACCTTGGTACAGAGCCGGTAATTTAAAACTTCCAAGAAATTGAGGGAAGGAAGAAGGCAATTAACATTTACTAAGTGCCCCTCACAACCTCTGTACTACTTTGCTTAAAAAAAAAATTTCACAAATATCCTCTCTTTTAGATTAAATGTTATTAACCTCCTTTTTTTTTTGGTACCGGGGATCAAACTTGGGTCTTTGCACTTGTGCAGCAGTCGGCAAAACCACTGAGCTAAATCCCCGGCCCAATTAAACGTTATTAAAAGGTAATTTTTTTCTGTACTGATTCTTTTTTTTAAATTTTATCTTATTTTTTTGTTGGTATAGGGATTGGACATAGGGCTTTCACAGTGAGCTACATTCCCACTTCTTTTCTATTTTTATTTTGAGACAGGTCTTGCTAAGTTGCTAAATTGCTCAGGCTGTGCCCCTAATTGTGATCCTCCTGCCTCAGCCTCACAGTGTGGAATTACAGATGTGTGCCACTGTATTTAGCTGGTAATTCTTTACTGGGAAAGAAAAGTGTTAATTAAGGGGCAACAAGTATATATCTCTAAGGGAAGACAGATTAAAAATTGTGTTTTTGGTTTAAGATGAGTTCTTGGGCACCGAGTTTTTATTCTGTGAAATCACAATAAACAGGATGGTTAATGGGCTTTAGAGTTCAGATTATAAACACTTTTTTTTGGTACCGGAAATCAAACTCGGGGCCTTATGGTTGCCAGGCAGGCACGGTGTGGCTGAGCTACATCCCGGGTCGATCTATAAACACTTTTTCTTTTTTTGGTACCGGGGATCGAACACAGGTCCTTGAGCTTGCGCAGCAGGCGTCAAAACCACTGAGCTAAATCCCCGGCCCCCCTTTCACTTTTTGATATCCACTTATTAATCTATTCAGGGTCCTTCTTCTAGGGTGGTGAGCATGTTCTCTTTAGAAGCCAACATGATGTAAAACAACTCTTACTGAGCATGACTGTGCCTGGCCACCTAGAAAACATAGAGGCCCTGTCTCAAAATAAAAGGTCTGGGGATGTAGCTCAGTGCAAAGGCCCAGGTACCACAAAACAACACCCCCCCCCCCCCAACAAAAGAAAACATTTCTGTTATACTCTGATGAGGTTGTCAGCTAAGGCACGGAGGAATTTGGGGGTTAAGGGTACAGTTTATAGTAGCCAATTTTGGTGTCACAGGAATTTTAAATAATTTTGCGGTCATTCTCAGATGATTTTCTTGGTTCTTGGAAGAAGTTGAAGGTAAACTTTGGACAATGTATTATACTATGCCCTTTGTAATTAAATAACCCAAGATAATGAGTTAAAATTTAGTGGAGATTTAAATTCCTGAGCTGATTAGAGTTAAGACTCTAAGGTTAAAGTGTTAGTCCAGGAGTCAGTAGGCATTATATAGTGATGAACTGCATGTTTTAATCTTCTCTTCCTAATCTTGCAGAACGACTCAGAATTAAATAACTAATAAAAAAGACAGTACAATTCAATTTGAAGGGAAGGCTTGAATTTTACTCTGGACGGCGTCTCATCCACAGAATGTGGAGCAACTGAAGGTTGTGGGGTCACGATGGAGGTGTGTTTTCCGTAAATCTAGCTCTGTGTACAAATGGGCTGGGCAGAGAACAGCTAGAGGAGCAGTCCATTTGGAGGCTACAGCCGTGTAAGTGCTGGAACAGGAACGCTAGGAAATCAAAAAAGAAAATGGTAGCACGAGCGGCCTAAATTGTATAATAATCCAACCCAGGAGTGGCTGGGCAAGTGAAGAACTGAAAGAATAGCTTAGTGCTAACCAAAGAGCCGGTCTGCGGCTCAGGCTCCTCGACTTTCCTCCCGTCCTTAGAGGGATGTCCCCAGCCCAGCCGGGAGACGGAGGGCCCACGCAGGTCATCCAGCAGAGGCTGTAGTGTAGTGGGGGGTAGGACCAGGCCGCGAGGGCCGCGCCCTTTCCCTTCCCACCCAACACTCCAGTCCTCCAGGGTCTGGCCCCGTCTCTCCCCTCTCCTCCCTCCCCACTTCTCTCCCCACCCCACTTCTCTCCCCACCCCCACAGCAAGTCACAGCGGGCACCGCCCTCCGCCCCTCCCCCCCTTGCCCTCCGCCCCTCCCTCCCCCTTCCCCTCCTTCTTGGGCCGCTGACTCGCCCGGCTGCCACGTCTCACTGATGACATCACCAGGGCAGCTCGGCCTTAGCCAATCCGCTAGGGGGAGTCCGAGCGAAGTCCTCGCCAGCGAGTCAGAGGGGAGGGGAGTTGAGAGGGGCGGAGGCTGGGGGTGAGGGAGTGGGAAATGGGGCGGGCGACAAACCCGCAAGTGCGCGTGCACCAGAGGCGCGGGGCTTGGCGGGAAGCTGAGTGCAGGACGGCGCAACGCCCCGTGGGTCCTCAGCGGACACGGCCTAGCTAGTGACTCTTCTTCCCGGCATGCCCCGCGGCGTGGCCGCCTTCTGAGCCGTGGAAAGGACCTCGGTCTAGGGCTTCCCTATTTCCTGGTTCGACGGCGGCCATCTTGGGTGGAAGCGATAGCTGAGTGGCGGCGGCTGCTGATTGTGTTCTAAAGGGACGGAGTGGGGAAAGACGTCTGCTCTCCTGGAACAGCCTATCTCATTCCTTTCCTTCGACTGCCCGTGGCGCGGAGAGTCGGGAAGGCGGCTGCGGCAGCAAGGGCGGCGGTGGCGGCGGCGGCGGCGGCAGCTGCAGTGACATGTCCAGCATGAATCCCGAATAGTGAGTGCAGGAGAGCGCTGGGCGCAGGGTCTGTGGGCCGGCTGGGCGACGCTTGCGGGGGCGAGGGGGACGGGGCGGGAGTGGGCGCGTAGGCCGGCGAGGCGAGGTGACTGGCGGCGAGGTGACTGGCGGCAGCCGGGTCGGGCCCCATTGTCTGGCAGCGGAGGGGCTGTCCGGGAGGGGTGAGGCCTCGGGGGTTACCTGGGGCCGGTGTAAAACCCAGCTCCCCGGAGGGCGCGACTGCTGAGGCAGGACTTGTTTGTAAGCGGAGGAGAGCACCGTCAGACCCAGCGCCCGCACTCTACGGAGCTGTCAGGAACGTCAGGGCGGAAACTAGGCTTACTTGTAAATCCTGAGCTTCTTGGCTCGCTCCTTCCACCCTCCCCGCCAGGTCTCAGGTAATATGGATGCTTCTCGGGACTGCGTGGGGTTGAGGGCAATGAGTAGATGGTGAGAAGAGATTTAAATTTTTAGGTTTTTTTTTGAATTGCCTCCTGGAAGAGTTCTTGAAGAACTCGCCGGTCCATTGCTCTCCTAAAAACCTAGACATTTGTGTGTGTGCGAGTGTGCGTGCGTGTGTGTGTGTGTGTGTGTGTGTTTAAAGAGGACCTAAGGGTCATTTTGGCTTCTCTAGGTCATCAGCAACAAGAGCTAAAACCAAGGAATGTGTTTCAGACACTAGCAGATTAAAGGAAGAGTTTTCTGTCAATTTTAGAAACGAGTGGGACCAATAAATAAAGATCTGTAGGTTTTGGATTACCTGCTTCAATGCTTACTGATAAGGAGTGAGGTTCCATGACGTGTCATGAAAAGTTAATGCATTCCTTTTTCTTGCTTACTCAGGAAGTCCCCACAGCAGATGTGACACACCTGGCGCCTTTCGTGGGAACTAGTGTTCATTTTCCTTGGGAAGACTTTGATGGGCTCTCCTCAGTAGCCTTTAAAAAAATCATAGTTTACAAATCTGTAAATGAGTAAACAGGAGATTTAAATGATATTCTTTAGTGTCAGAAGTCTAGGGGAGATGGAACTTTTTTATAAGCAAAAATTAGTGTTTGTCATAAAGGTTGTATTTATTTGCTGCTTTGGTCAATTACTGCTAAACATTTTCCCCTAAAAGATCCGCCCATCAGTTTAGCTGACTGGCATGTGTATGTCACATGGCTCTTGCAAAATTCGTTCTGATTTCAAGTTTTGTAATACTATGGTTTGATGCTGAAATGTGCCCTTTCCTTACTAAATAGAAGCCATGATATTTGTTAGAATTTTATATACTTTTAGAAGTATGAGGATAGTGTTCTTTAGTGACCTATTTGTTGTGTTGGGAGTTTTTTCTTTTGTTATCAAGGGCTCCAAGGGTAAGGTGGGTTTTGCATAGTTGAGCAGAGTGGAACTTGAGGTTCCTAATTACAGTATTAGTTTTCCTTTCCTTAGTTCAGGAAGTTTCCTATATTTGCTACATGTATTTAGTACTGTAAATCTTAAAGATTTATTAGTTGAACATAAGTTTGATAAGTTACAGTCTCTAAATTTGGCTTTTTGTGATATAATGAGAGTTAATCCTGTTATGTAGTGGTAGGATTCAGAAGTATGTAAACATTTGGAAAACTAAAAGAATCATTTACGTGTTACAAATCATTTTCATATGAGACATTCTAGTAGTACAAGGATTTAGGAATATAATCCTTAAACTCAAAAAATTCTTAATGCAATATGGAAAATAGATTTTGTTTTGTCTTTTTGAGCCAGGGTTTCTCTGTGTAGTTCTAGCTGCCTTGAACTCACTGTGTAGTCCAGTCTGGCCTTGAACTCACAGTGATCCTCCTGCCTCAGCCTCCTGAGTGCTGGGACTATAGGCGTGCACCACCATGCCCAGCTTAAAACAGTCCAATAAGCAAGTTCCAGATGTTCAGCATGAATCAGAGCAGTAAGAATTTGGAGGAGGTGGTGGGTTATGGTTGGCTATTGTTAGAAAAGACACCTGTAAGAGAATTATTACTAACTAGATTTGAAGGAGTAGAAGGGGGTGAGGAGGTTTATTTCAAGAGACAGAAGAAAGGAATGCCTAATAGGTGGCAAGGACAAGTTTATTTTTTTTATTTTTTATTTTTGGTACTGGGAATTGAACCCAGGGCCTTCATACTGACTGAGCTGTATCCCCAGCCTTTTTGGCTTTCACTCTGAGCTACATCCTTATCCTTTTTATTTTATTTTATTTTATTTTTAGGTACTGGGGATCGAACTCAGGACCTTGCGTTTTCGAGGCAGGCGGCAGAACCACTGAGCTAAATCCCCGGCCCCTATCCTTTTTATTTTTTATTTTACTAAGTTACTAAATTGCCCAGGCTGGGCTCCAACTTGGGATCCAGTTTGGGATCCTTCTGCCTCAGGCTGTCAGAGTGATGGGATTATATTTATTTATTTTGTTTTGTTTGGAAACATGGCCTTACTATGTAGTTTAGGCAGGTCTTGAACTTGCAGTGATTTCTCCTGCCTCAGCCTCCGAAGTGCGGGGATCACAGGCATGTGCCACCATGCCCGGGTATGACAGTAATTCTTAAGGCCATGTCAAGTCATCCTTTCTTTTTTTAAGTCATCCTTTCTTTTGAGGACTCTAATGATCTCAACAGAATCAAATCCAGAAATCATTTTTATGTTTATTCTGGTATCAAATAATGGTATTGTAGCCTAATAAAATAATCCATTTTGCAAAATTGTTAGTAAAAAAATTTTTTTTTAAATGAATTATATTGTGTTTATTTGAAATTTACAATATAGTATTATGGATACATATGAATAGTAAAATGGTTATTATAGTGAAGATTAACATCTATTATCTTACAGTTAACCTTTTTGTGTGACAAGAGTAGCTACATTTATTTTTTTAATAAAAATCTCTAATACAATATAATTTTAATTAACTTTAGTTCCAGTGTTGTACATCAGATAGTATGTTTACCCTAAAGATATATATACTATTGGGGGGGATGTTGAGACTATGTAGTTTAGTCTGGCTTTGAACTCACTATGTAGTTCAGGCTGGCCTTGAAGTCACAACAATCCTGCTTCAGCCTCCTGAGTGCTGGGATTACAGGCGTGTACCACCATGCCTCGCTCGTCCTTTTCTTCTTATGTGTGCTTTATTTGACTTAGTATAAATAATGTCCCCCAGTTTAGTGAAAATTTTGGGGTTTTTCTTTTCTTTTTTTTTGGGTATCGGGGATCGAACTTGGGACCTTGGACTTGTGAGGCAGGCGGTGGAACCACTGAGCTAAATCCCCAGCCCTTTTCTTTCTTTCTTTCTTTTTTTTTGATACTGGGGATCGAACTCGGGTCCTTGTGCTTGCAAGGGAGGTGGCAGAACCACTGAGTCAAATCCCCAGCCCTTTTCTTTCTTTTTTTGAGACAGTCTCACTATGTAGTTCAGGCTGGCCCTGAACTTACTATGTAGCCCAGGCTGGCCTCAACTCAACAATCCTCTGGCCTCAGCCTCCCGAATGATGGGATTAGAGGGGTGGTACACTACTCTGCCAGACAAGTGAAAATTTTTAAGGTGAGATGAAGTGATTAATATTTTATTAAGATAGATCACAAGCACACTCAGGTTTTAGTAATCGGAATTTAGCAGTTTCTTCTGGTCTTTTTTTGGGGTGTGTGTGTGTGTGTGTGTGTGTGTGTGTGTGTGTGTGTGTGTGTGTGTGTGGTACTGGGAATTGAATCCAGGGCCTTTGCTCTGAGCTGCATTTCTACAAACTGCCCCCTACCCCCCACCTCAGGATTGAACTCAGAACTCAGGATCTTGTGCTTGCAAGGCAGGTGCAGTGCCACTGAGCTAAACCCCAGGTCCCTTTTTTGTTTTTGAGAACTGGGTCTTGCTATGTATGTATCAGGCTGGCTTTAAACTCACTTATGTAGCCTAAGCTGTCCTGGAACTCACAGTGGTCCTCCTGCCTCTGAGTCTCCAGTGCTGGGATTATGGGTGTGTGTCACCACACCCAGCCCCACTCCTTTTAAAATATTTTGAGACAGGGTCTTACTAAGTATTAGGCTAAGTTGCTCAAGTTTTGAATATGCAGTCTTCCTGTTTCAGCCTCCAGGAGTGCTGAGATTGCAGGCCTGGCTCTTCTTGTCTTAAATGCAATTATAACTCAAAGTAATTAGAGGAAATTTGGAAAATAAAGAAAAATAATAAAGTTGTTCTTAAAATCTTATTACCCAGATAAAAATCCATTTTCTTTAACATACTGCTCTACCTGAAATGCTTTACTTTATCATCTATATGTTTTAAACATTTGCTTTAGGGGTGAGGAGAAAAATATATCAATAATGATTGACTTTCACTTTTTTTTCAAATGTAATTTTGTTTTTTTGAGACAAGGTCTCACTTACAGCCCAGGTTGGCATCTAACTCAAGGTGATCCTTTGGCCTCAGCCTTGCCAGTGCTGGGATTACAGACCTGCACCACCACTTCCTGCTTAATGATTGAATTTTAATCTGTCCCGTGGTCTGCTTTCCTTGTTCTTATGCTAATTTGGGAGGGTTGACAAACCAAGGTTATCTTTAATGTGAAATTAAAGATACTGGGGCGGGAGATTTAGCTCAGTGGTTTGCCTCCTGCTGCATAAGCGCAGGGACCCAAGTCCGGTACCAAAAAAAAAAAAAGATACCAACTTTCAACTACAAACAAAGCAATTGAAAGTTTAGTCTTAATGTGAAAGTAGATGAAATTGGGCATAGTTTTCCTTTTTTTGAAGATCTGATGAAAGATTTTTATTTTTGAGGAAAGAAGTGGTAGAGTTCTGTCAGTGGTTATCTCAGGCCACCAGTTAAGAAATACTTTTGTTTTTGTTTTTAGTACCAGAAATTGAACTCGAGGCTTTGTGCTTGCCAGTCAGAGCTACATCCATGGCCCGTAGAAATACTTAACATTATTTTCATACTAGAAATATTATTTTTTCTTTTTTTATATTTTAGAAATATTTTTCATAATTACTTGCTT